AATAAAAAAGCCTCCCTCCCCCCCCCCGCCAACAAACTATTTGCCAGCACTGGTGTCTCAGTCCCACTGGGGTAACTGCTGCCCCCTCTGCCCCTGCCTGTGCCGGGTTTTGCCCTCTGACACCCTCTGCCAGCGCCTCACCCCTGGGCTTAACTCCGCCTCTTCCCCCATTCCTGATTTTGCCCTTTAGCCCCTCTCCTAATGCTGCCTCCAGCTGCTCGACCCCCCCCCCCAGACCAGTCAGTTTCCACCCCCTGCTCAGACCCTGGCTGCCCCCTCCTCCGATTCGCCCCTTTTTAAGTCCTGTCAAACGCAGTCTGCACAATCCTACGGGTATAAGGGCAGGGGCTTCAGCAGATGTACTGAGCATGCTCAGTGCGCCTTCTACCGGAGCAGTATCCTTCACTACAACAGCCGGGCCGCTGCCCCCCTGCAGTTCTCTGCTTGTGCCTGTTCCTGGGGGGCTCTGGCCCCCCCCCTCCACCACCTGGGTGCCTGTCACGGGCGGGCAGGGCCCATAGCCAATCAGGTCTCTGAAGCCCTGGGGGGCAGAGGGGCCAATGAGGGTTAAGGGGGTTTAATCATCATGGCACCGCCTCTGGCAGAGGGTTGGGCCGTTGGGCAGGGAACAAAAAAACACAAATCACCCCCGACCCCCAGCTCTGACCTGTCCTGCTGCGTCCGGCTTGGCTTTCAGGTCGGCTGGAGAGTCCGGAGCAGGAGCCAGAGCCAGGACCTCCACCCCGGCTCGTCTTCGCTGAATCGGACCCAGTCAGCCCAAGAGGAGCCCAGCCCAGCGCCTGCAGCAGCGTCTGTAGCCTGAGTGTCGCTGAGAGACAATGGAGTCAGCAGCTGGGGACACTGAGAGCGAAGCGTCACTGCAGCTGGTGTCCTGTATTGGTTGTAGTGGACACCAGAAGAGTGGCGGGAAGCCAGGTAATAGGGCGTCGCTGCCTGGGAACAGGCTGGAGAGAGACACTGAGGTTGCCCCGCATGGGGCCATGTTCTCAGTGGCAGCAGCCAGTGCCCAGCAACCCCCCCTGTGGGCAGCAGGGACTGGATCTCCCCCAGGGGCTCTCAGGGCACCGATCCCTGGCTCACAGCTGCTGTCTGGCGCACACAGCGGTGGCCGTGGGGCTGTGCGTGTCAGACCCCCTGTGACAGCCCTGGCCCATCTCTGCCTGGTTCGTTCTCCCCCCTTCTGCTCTGTGTGGCCAGTGTGAGACCCCAGTGTGTGGGGACAGGTGCACTCGGCAGTGTGGGCCCAGCCAGCGCTCGGCAGAGGGCAGAGTGGGGGGGTGGGGCAGCTTGAGCTCCTGTCACCGGAACATGCGGGTCCTTGTCTCTGTGTCCCTGAGCTCACTGGGCCCCATGACAGCCTGGCTGGGAGTGCCCGGGGAGGGCACTGGGCTGAGGGGAAGGAGGGACTGTTCTGCCAGCCCCAGCCTGCCTGAGCCTCCGGGCTCCTCTCCCAGAGCGTTTGACGGAAGGAGCAATCGACAGAACGGGGCATGTTCTAGGGCAGCTCCAGCCCTGGTGCTGTCAGTGAGACGTGTCCTCGTGGCCCGGCCTGACGGGTCTTTGTGTTTCAGAACCTCATTGTAACTGCAAGAAATGTAACTACAAGAAACATACAGTTGCGCTTGCCGTTGCCCTTGCAGTTGTGTCCTTAAGTTTCATCATTGCTGTTATTGTCCTGGCAGGTGAGTTCTCAGCCCTCCCTGCCCCCTCTCTGCACATCCCATTCCCCCTGGCGCCACCACAGTCACAGTCTCTCCTCCCGGCCTGTCTGGCTTCTGCCCCTGGGACGGAGGATTCTTGGGGGATGTTCCTCCACGACCCTCCTCCTGCTCCCTCCCAGATCCCTGCACCTGGGCACTCTGTGTCGGGAGTGAAATTAGTTCCCCCAGCAAATCTCTGAGCACTTTGGGTCCAGGTGACTATTGCTGGGCCCCAGGCACAGTCACTGGTACCCCCGTGCAGAGTGGGGGTGATTGACAGGAGAAGGTGCAGGGCAGCAGTGAGCTGGGCCCTCTGCCTGCAGCGTGTCGCCCTGAGGTACCAGCCTAGCCTTCCTGCATCCCCGGGTCGTGCCCAGGGCCGGGCTGGCAGGTGCTGGCGTGTCACTGACATGAGCTGTAGAACGCAGTACAGACACCTCCATCAAGGGAGCTGGTTTGTCTGGCTGGTTTGAGTTTTTGACTTGGTTACAGTTTACAGCACGTTCTATTGGGGATTGTGTGTTTGGGGGCTGTGTGGGACTGGGGACCAGAGGCCTGCTAGATGTGTGCACTAACAAGGCTCTAGCCTCCTGTCCTTTCATCCTTGGACATCCTTGTGATCACCCTTCCCCTGTGTGTTAACACGGGGCAGGGCTGACCTAGGAGAGAAGGGTTTAAAAGCCAGGCGCTGAGGCTGTGTCTACACAGTGCTAAAAGCCCAGCAGTGCGGCCGTGGCTGGCCCGGCTCTGCTGACTCAGGCTCGTGGGGCTCAGGCTGCAGGGGTAAAAATTGCTGTGTCGATGTTTGGGCTCAGGCTCCGTTGTCACCGGGTCCCAGGGCTCGGGCTCCAGCCCAGGCCTGAGCATCTACACATGGTTTTCAGCCCCATGAGCCTGAGTCAGGTCACCTGGACCAGCTGCGGGTTTTTTCTTGCTGTGCAGACATACCCATGGCGACCAAAGGGAGCTAGCGAACAGGGGAGCTTGAGAGGGAGTTTGTAGGAGGGAGAAGGAATAAAATTAATATGGTCCAGAAGGGCCCCATAGCCAATACCAACCCTGCTCCTGGCTCCTCCACCTGTAACTTTGTCCTGACACAGAATCTGACCATGGATGCCTCAACCCAGGTCCTGGTGTGGCTTTGCAGAGACTGTGGCCTGTGTTTCCCCATCACAGAAAGCCAGGCTGGGGGGACCATCCGGTGTGATAGGTGCTTATTGGTAGAATCTCTCAGGAAGCAGGTGGGAGAGCTATAGGAGGAGGTGTCTATGCTGAGAAGCCTCCATGCACATGAGGAATTCATTGAAAAGATGCATATGGAGACCTCCAAGGTGGAGGAGCAATCCAGCAGGAGAGGACTGCACTAGCTGGCTGCTGGCTACTGCTGGCAGCAGGCAGTGCTCCACCCCTGCTCCAACCCACCATCATTAGTGATGGAAAACCAGTGTGCTGCCCTGGCAACGAGGGGTGAGGAGTCTTCCCCATAGGTGTAGGAGGAGAAGCCATGTACCCCCACGGCTGGGAGGATCACGGCCGTCACTCCCAAGAGGAAATGAAGAGTGGTGTTCAGTTACCTAATGGGGATGGAGACATCCATCTGCAGGCCTGGCCTGGCATCCCGGGACCTGTGCTGCCTGCCAGGGGCCTGTATCTGAGACCTTGTGTAAGGGTTGCTGAGGCTCATCCAGCCCTCTGACTACTGCCCCATGCTGCTCATTCAAGTGGGCACTAATGATACTGCGAGGTCTGACCCTGAACAGATCAGAAGTGATGACAGGGCTCTGGGAGTGAGGGTGAAGGAGTTGGGGGGTGCAGGTGATGTTCTCTTCGATCCTTCCAGTCAAGGGTGAGGGCCAAGATAGAGACAGACATGTGCTGGGGGTTAATGCATGGCTGAGCGGATGGTGTCGCCAGGAAGACTTTGGCTTCCTCAACCGTGGGATGCTGTTCCGAGAAGGAGGACTGCAGAGCAGAGATGCGGTCCCCCTATCAAGGAAGGGTGGGAATATCTTTGGATACAGACTGGCTAGTGAGGTGGGCTTTTAACTAGGTTTCACAGGGGCAGGAGACAAGAGGTCTCTATGTTTTGGACTTGGGTGAAGGGTTGGAATTTCGGGGGGAGCAGGGATGAGGGAAATATATGAAAAGGGAAATAAGGACAACCCAGGGAATTCCAGACCAATCAGTTTAACTTCAGTACCCAGACAGATAATGGAGCAAATAAACAATTTGTAAGCCCCCGGAAGATAATAAGGTGGTAAGTGATAGTCCACATGGATTTGTCAAGAAGAGATCATATCAAACCAACCTAATATCCTACTTTGACAAGGTAATAAGCTTTGTGGATGGGGGGGAAGTGGTAGGTGTGGTAGATCCTGACTTTAGTAAGACTTTTAATACTGTCTTACATGATCTTTGCATAAACAAACTAGGGAACTAGAGCTTCAACTAACCTACTATAAAGGGGGTGCACAACTAGTTGGAAAATCCTACTGAGAGAGTAGGTATCAATGGGTCGCAGTCAAGCTAGAAAGACTCTTCCAGACTTAGTGTCTGTTCCTCACTGAGCACCGGCCACATGGGTGCAGCTACTGAGTTACTCTGGTGCAGAAAAGATGATATGCTCAAAAATCACTGGAGGGGTCTGACTCAAAAACTTCCCATCCCAGAAAAGATCATCTAAGGAAACAATCCCTTTAAGGCTGAGAGCAAACAGGCAGGATTATTGTGGGGAAAACCACTAACTGATGCGGGGTTTAGGATGGTTTAGCAGTTCTTACCCATCGTGACCCTAATAAACCCACCTCTGTCTATCCATCCCCTGCACTGGATGTTAGTTATGGTGATCCTACTGCTGCTGTCTGATGGCGCTGAAATGGTTAAACTTCCAGTGTGTTTGATTCTTTTTGCTGTGTTAAGGGGAAGAAATGTTACTTGATTCACCTCTTCCCTACAGACAACATTCCTGGCCACTCAGTATAACAGGCTCTTTCCTATTGATAGAGTTCTGGTGCCACCTTGTGGCCATTTCATGTCCCTGGGTGAAAGTTCACTTCCTTCTCAGGGCATGTCTACACTACAGCATTGTGCTGACCTAAGTTATGTTGGCATACAGCCGCCGCAGTCATAACTTCGCTTTTGCGTCTCCACACTACGCTCTTTGTTGGCAGTGCGCATCCTCACTAGCTGCACTTGCATCGATGCAGAGAGCAGTGAACCCTGGGTACCCGTCCCTCTGTGCAGTTCACCACCATCTAGCACAGGGAGTTTGGGGAAGGTTTTGCAGGGCCTCATGGGACCAAAATGAGTTGCGCAGGGGTTACTGGGACCATGATTTCAACGTCCCATAATGCAGTGTTCTCCATCCTATAATTTCATCTGCATCCCCTAATGTGTCGTACCTCTTTTCAAAATCTCCACTGGATTTATGGCTTATTCCAACAATCACATTAACCCCTCTTTTTGCCCTATGACTGCAGAGGTGTTAATGGGCCAGTCTACCTTGAATGGTCCCATACAATGTGTGCTAACTACTTATGCTAAACAAGCTGTTCCACCTTGCATTGTGCTGTGAGAACCTTTCCCAGACCTGAAGAAGAGCTCTGTGTGGCTTGAAAACTTGTCTCTCTCCCCAACTGAAGTTGTTCCAATAAAAACAATTACCTCACCCACCTTACCTCTTTAGTAGCTTCTGTTTAACATCTTCCAGAGATTCTAGTGGAATGAAAAAAGTGTTATCACCATATGATGGGACTATAGCATCTGTTTGTACCTCAAATACAGAACAGAAATATTTATTGAACACGTCTGCCTTTTCTGCATTATTATTAATAATCCTACCATTTTCATCTAGTAGTGGACAGGTCCATGGTCAGGATTCTTTTTGTTCCTAATACATTTTTAAAAAACTCCTTATTGTCCTAAACTCTGCTGGCCACAGATTTCTCCTTGTATTCCTTGGTTTCCCTTATCAATTTTCTACAATTCCTAACTTCTGATTTATATTCACTCTGTTTCCCCTTGTGTATTATTATAACTGCCTTCACTTCCCCTCTAAACCAGTTCAGTTTGTTACTAGGCCAGTAACCTTGTCAAAAAAGGAAATGAGGATGGTTTGACATGATTTGTTCTTGGCAAATCCATGTGGGGTATTCCTCATTACTCTGTTATCCTCTAAGTATTCACACATTGTTTAATAATTTGATCCAGTTGAAATATTCCTGCTCTATTGACAGTGGTTGGGGAGGCAGACCCAATCAGAGCGGCTGCCAGCCCTCAAAGTCTGCTTCTAGTTCTATGTGAGTGCCCTTCTCTGTTTGGTAGCATTATCAGGGCCCAGCAGGGGTGACGTCCTCCTCTCTGCTGGGTCCAGCACTTTCACATTTCAGTGTTTTATCTCCTGAAATGGGTATTCGCACTTTGGTCTCAACATGTCTCTGCAGGAGAGCAAAATAAAGAGCAGGAAGGGGGAATCAGCCAGCCCAGTGTAGCAGTCTGTGTCCGAGCTGATCATCACAAAATCGAGCTTTTCTGTATTCTCCTGCTGGTCCTTTGACAGCTCTGCAGCTCCCTGAATTTGGGCCAAACTCTGAATTCTCCATTTTATCCTTATGCCTGGGAATCCTGTCTGTCTGCATCCTCACTGAATTCAACACTCCACCAACAAACCCAGGAGTGGTGGCCCCTCATAACTGGTTCAGTTTCTAACGACCTCCTGGCTCCCTCCCAAACGACCTCCTGGCTCCCTCCCATCCTCTGAGCAGCTTCCAGAGGCTTAAGGAGTCTGAAATGTGGATCTGATGAGATTGTTCCTATTTGCTCTTCTCGGAGAGCAGGTATCTGTGTCACCAATCTCCTAACCCTGTGTTCTTTCATTTTCAGTGCTCCTATTCACGAGTTCTTCGGATGGTCGAGCCACCTCTGCTGTCCCCTCTCCGGGGCCCCCTTTTGTCCCCTCTCCAGGCCCACATTTTGTCCCCTGCTGCCTGGAGGGGTGGGTCGGATACCGAGGGAAATGCTACTATTTCTCAAAGGAAGAAAAGAACTGGGATTCTAGCCAGCACTTTTGCTCTTCATTCAATGCTTCCCTGGCAGTGATTGACACCCAGCAGGAAAAGGTGAGACAGGTGCAGGTTCTTTGTAACTGCAATAGCCAGGGCTTGGCGTGACAGACAGAGCTGGAATCTGGGCAGAGCCCCACCCCGGGAGTATGAGTGGGACCTTTGATGTTTCTCAGGATTGGAGGCAAGAATGAATGAGATTATGGAAACTAAGCCCCTGCCCTGGCTATTAATGTGCTCTGTGATCAGAACAGACCTTCTGAACCCTCAGCTTCTGACTGGAGACGGCAGCTTTATGGCTTCCTGGCCACCCCTGCCGAGTTTTGGGTTTTCTTGGCAACCATCCTCCACAGAGAGACCCAAAGGAAGCTGGGGGAGGGGAGAAGCAGCAGCAAAGCGCAGGTGTGACCTGAGCTAGGAGAAGGGGAGCTGTGGGCAGTAACTGCTGTTGCAGAGAGGAGCCTGGGAGATACGGAGCCTCTGGGATATTGCAGGAAGGCAGGAGGGGGCCGAGGAGGGCAGAAGAGAGGAAACCATTCTCTTTAGGGGGGCAGGGGTGTACATGCAGTATGGATTCCCCTGTTCCCAGAGTACAAAGGAGGAATCCCACCCAAAAAAAGAGACACAAGCTGAGGCTTGGTCTGCACTAGAAGGTTTAACTTCTTTAAAGGGTGCGCCTTTGGCTTCTTACCAGTATAATTCTACTGATCTAAGTACTAGTGGAGCTGTTGTTATACCAGTAGAAAGGGGCCTTGTGCAGTGTAGCTTATTTCCTTTCCTGTACCTACACAATCACTTCTGTATCAATGCAGCCAGACTCCTGGGGATTGTGATGCTGTAACTATACTGCTATAGCTCAAGTGCTGCAACTCCTACGTGGAGACAAGCCCTTAGCTATACAGCTGAGATTCCCTGCTGAACAAAGCCCTGTGGGGCAGGACCGGGGGAACACGGCAGGGTCTGATACACAGTGTCCTGTTGTTCAGGATTTCACAATGCGCTATGCAAACCTCGTTGAGCATTGGATCGGCCTCAGAAGAGACTCAGGCCAGCCCTGGAAGTGGGTGAACGGAACCTTATTCAGCCAGCAGCTGTGAGTCCAGTTCTTCTCTTTGCTTTCCCAGTTGGGCTAGGTCCACACTTCTCGCCTGATTCGGCGGGTAGAGATCGATCTTCTGGGATCGATTTATCGCGTCTCATCTGGACGCGATAAATCGATCCCAGAAGCGCTCCCCCGTCGACTGTGGAACTCCTGCTCGCCGAGAGGAGAAAGCGCTGTTGACGGGGGAGCTTGCCTGCGCCGCGTGGACCCGCAGTAAGTAAACTTAGTTCGATCTAGGAAACGTCGACTTCAGCTACGCTATTCTCGTAGCTGACGTTGCGTTTCCTAGATCGATCCCCCGCCCCAGTGTGGACCAGCCCTGATAAATCACAAGCGACGGAAATGTTAGCTTGGACCAATCCACAGCTTACCCCATTAGAGCTTTTAATCTTAAACTCGGTGTTAAAATAGGGCCTAACTCCTCTGTGCAGCACAGTCCAGGGCAAGCAGGAGCGTGTGTCTCTGGCCTTAATCTGTGTTCCCAATGCCCTTTCTCCAGCGTGCTGTCCTGGTAGGAGTTAAAACCCCTGGAGGGCGGGGGGTAGAGTCCCAGTGGGGGCACATTTGCAGTGAAACAGGCTGTAACACCAGAGACTCTTTATGATTCCTTGCTGATCAGAGCAGCTGCTGCCTTTGTCTTGAGCATGGGCTGTGCACTGCCTATGTGACTTTCTAAAGTGCTGGGGAATGCTTGAACCCCAGATCTGCCCCAGGCCCTGCCCCCACTCCACCCCTTCCCCCAAGGCCCCGTCTCTTCCCGCCCCCTCTCCACACCCGCCTCGCCCAGTTTCGCCCCCTCCCCCAAGCCCCCCCATGTCCTCGCTCTTTCTCCATCCCCCACCCCCACCCCCAGAGCCTCCTGCTTGCTGCAAAACAGCTGATTTGTGGGCAGGAGGCGGGGGGAGGTGCTGATCTGTGGGGCTCACCGGCTGATTGGAGGCACTGGGTGGGGGTGGGGGGAGGTGTTAGGGGGGCAGCACCCACTATTTTTTCCCTGGGGGTACTCCAGTCCCGGAGCACCCATGGAGTCAGCGCCTGTGCCTACATCTACCTCAGGCCCAGATCCTCAAAGGATCTGGGCCTCAGTTACTTTTAATGTGAAGGTGCTAAAGAGACATCTCACTGTTCTGTACACGTCAGTTTCCATGGTCTGCAGCCTCAGGCAGAGGTTGCCACATTGGCTACACTTTGTTCACATTTGTAAAGTTTGCGTCAGTCATAAAGAGTAAAAAAAAAAAAAGTCTAAAGATAGCTGAACATGGCCATGCCATGGAAAAATTCTGGTTTGCTGAGCTGCCGAGAGCCACCCCACTCTGATCCCCTTTTTCTGCTTGCTGTGCCTAATGATTGCCTGAAATGTTCCCTCCTGTTCTCATCCTTGGCTGCCAGGCAGGCGTTTGGGGTGATCCTGTTGCTGGTGCTGAAAGGGGAAACCCTGAACTCCTGTGAGCCCTGCAGCTCTGCTTCACCCTCTGAATGTGGCACGCCACCTTGCCGGTGACCAATGCGGGTGGAGGAGAAACATTCGGCTCCTGACTAGCTCCATGACTTACATTACAGGTTTGAAGTAAGAGCAGAAGGGGACTGCGCGTATCTGAGTGACGTCTTCGTGAGCTCTTCTAGGTGCTATTCGCTGAGAAACTGGATCTGTAGCAAACCTGATGGACATATAAAGGGAAAGGAACATGCAATGGAGAGACACTAGTAGGGATGTAAAAGTTTAACCAGTTAACCCATAAGGTTGATGCTTATCAGTAGGGACCTACCACTTTCAAGTGCCTTCAGGGACCAAAATAAGCCCTTCCCCCTGAAATCCGTGCCTCCTTGTTCGTAGAGTGCCCCAGTATCTAGCTCCGACTGGGCAGGAGAGGGACAGGGAAGAGGTGCCTCCCCCCTGTTGTAGGACACGCTCTTAGGGCTGCAGGCAGCACAGGAGAGAGGGTGACAATCCCATGACCCCCCATCAACAGGAAAATCCGAAGGAATAGGCATGCAGGAGAGCCAGGGAGAGGCTCTAGGTGTGAGGGAACTGCACTGAGTCTGCAGGCAGCTGGGGCAAGGTCCAGCTGTGCGTGGAAGCAAGATGTGAGCTGGGAATCTAGAGCCAGCTGTGCACTGGGGAGATGGGCTAGAACCAGCTGTGCAGGGGAATTGGAGGACAGATGCTGGGCACTGAGGGCTAGAGCCAGCTGTGTGCTGGGGGCAGAAGCCAGATGTGTGCAAGGGAGGTGAGCTGGGGGAGAAGCACTGTGGACGCTGCCAAGAGCAGGTGCGAGCACCATCCGCTCTGCAGCATGGTGAGGGAGCCAGACGCCCGGCTGCCAAGTGCCCGGCCCGCCCAGGGGAAGCTCCACAGTGGTGTGGCCGAGCCCAAGCCTGTGTGAGGAGAGAAGTTGGTGGCAAGTCTCAACATTAGCCAGCCCCCAGCCTCTGTTCCACGCCCTGGGGAGGAGTCAGGTGTCTCCTGGCAGAAAATGGGGAGGGGAGCGGGTGCACATGAGACCAGCGCCACCACCCTGTCACCTCTGATCAGCAATTCCGGAAACGAAAGATGGTTTTGGAAAAAAACACATCAATAGCAGCAATTTCCAGAAAACACTGCCCCTAACCCTGACTTGGTTGCAATTCAGACATCTAGATGTCTCCAATGATCTACGCCAGCGTTTTTCAAACTTTTTTGGCCACGGAACACTTTTTAGCCTTTTACAGAACACTTATAATATTATTTTGTAATTGTCTAGTTTTCAAATAAAAAATTGCATTATTTAAATTAAATTAATAAATAATTATGCTCAAATATATTTTATTTTATAAAACAAAGCAAAAATACAGATTTTTAAATAACTTGAACTAACAATTTCTAATTGGAAAGCGCGTATAAAGTAATACAAAAATCAAGTGCAAGAGTCAAAACTAAAAACAGTGTTCTACTTTAAAAAAACCTGTTTTTATATATACACAAACACCAAACAAATTAAATTTTTACTAGGAAAATCTATTTTTATAAACAAATACAAATTTGGATTTAATGGGATTTGTGTTTCTGCGTTTTTCTATCACAAATTCACTTAGTATTAGGAATAATGCTGGAAAGTTGAATCCTTATATCAGGCGCAGCATCAAGTCTATTCCTATATTTGGTTTTTGTTGCCGTATAATACGAAAATCCCGTCTCACACAAATAAGTTGTAGCAAAAGGAAGGAGCACTCGAACTGCACATTTAGCCACATTAGGGTACTCGTCTATTAGACTGCTCCAAAAATTATTCAGCGGAAGATCCTTAAACTTTTGTTTCAAATCGGAGTCAGAAATTAAGTCAATTAGGCTTTCATAATCATGCGCAGTAAAGCCGACTGGTTTGGCTGTAATTACAAACGGATTTTGAACCCAAGCATTATCATCAGTAGTTGTAGGAAAATATTCTAATAAAGAGGCCTGCAAGTCACATCATGGACTGTAGAATTTATTTCAGTCAGAAATTCATGTACTGTAGGGAAGCAGTCAAAGTTATTCTGTTCTACAGAAGATGCCCAGAATTGTAGTTTCTTTTTTAACGACGAAATTTTATCCATTGTAGTAAAAACGGTCACATTCTGTCCTTGCAGCAACAGATTAATTTCATTTAATTTTGCAAAACTATCTGCAAGATATGCAAGTCTCATTAGCCATGAGGAATTTGACAATCATTAAATTTTTGTCCTGAATTATCTGAAGTGAAGAATACCAGTAGTTCACTACGAAGCTCAAAAAGCCTCACAAGCACTTTTCCTCTGGATAGCCACCTCACTTCCGTATGTAAAAGAAGCGTTGTGTGCTGACTACCCATTTCCTCACACAAAATTTTAAATAACCTGGATTGAAGTGGTCGAGATTTGACAAAATTGATAATTTGTACTGCTTCATCGAGCACAATTGTCAGATATCCTGGTATTTTTTTTAACTGCAAGTGCTTGTCTGTGTAGAACACAATGGCTCTTAGTGCTTTCTGGTGCCACACTTATGATTCGCATTACAGCTCCCTTCATCTTCCCGATCATCGCCTGAGCACCGTCCATACATCAATACATTTTCCCCAACTAATGTCATGCTTTCTGATAAAATTGTTGATGCAGTTGAATATTTCTTCTCCAGTTGTGTTGCTTTGCAGAGATTCACATAAGAGCAGGTCCTCTTCAATAATATTAAATCCATATCGGACAAATACCAGTAGTACAGCAAGTCCTGAAATGTCGTCAGTGGACTCATCTAGCTGCAATGAATACTCTCAGCAAATTTTCAGTCGGCAAACTAGCTCTTTTTCTATGTCTTCGGCAAGATCTTTAATACTGCGTGCAACAGTATTTGACAACTGTACAGCATCAATTTTTTTACCAGACTGCTCGCTCAACATGCACGTTACAATATCTTTTGTTCAAGGCTTCATAAGCGTTTTTCCAATAGTGTGAGCTTCTCCGGCAAGCGCTATACGGTAACTTACTCGATAAGATGCCTCTGTTGCACTTTTGTTGTCTGTTTTAGCAATTTTAATCATCGAAAGTGATTTCCAGTTTCCAAGTGAGTCACGCTTCCTCTTGAAAAAACTTATATCTTTGTCTTTGTATTCAGCATGCTTGGTTTCCAAATGCCTACAAAGTTTAGCAGGAGCCAATGAACTGTTTGCTAGTATTTTGTTGCACACGACGCACTGAGCATCAGAAACATCTTTATTTCCAACACATGTAAAACCGAAAGACAAATAACTTTCATCATATTTTTGTTTCGGTCTTTTAACACCTGCTGCTTCTTGGTTTTTGATATACTTCGGTGAAAATTCTTTCACCTTGAATAACTCACTAGTACTAACAGATTTTTCGGCAACAAAAGACTGCGATTGTTCATCCTCACTTTGAAGTGTCACAATATTTTGCTGGTTTATTTCGGCCACAGTTGGAGTACCAGAAGAACTTGCTTTTCGTTTCGAAGTTCCTTCCTTTAGCCACAAATCCACGGTGATTAGGTTTAGTAACAATATTTAGAAATACTGATTTTTGTCAAATTTTGTTTGTCACAAATATTTATATTGTTTCGAGCGAAGCTAGTTTAGTTGTGCTTATTGCACACACGGTAAAGACCCACAGGTTTGAACGTGTTGAATGAATATGTTATATTCAACATGGTGTAAAGAGAATTGTGTGTGCATACCACTGCAGTTCACGCAGCCTCGAGCGGAAGGGGTACGACGTTCCTAATTGAAACGTGCTCGAAAGGGGTAGACGTCAACATGCTTGCGTGCCACGTTCTCTTTACGCCATGATATTCAATACAAGATCTGTCAATAACCAGAAAAAGAGTTTTATGTTAAATTATAGTCATTCAAAAAGCGTTGTAAACTATGCTTCAAATATGCCAAATTTAAAATTTAAAAAATTGAAAGACGCTTTTTTTTTAAATTACGATTCTTTCACGGAACACCTATTCACATCGTGTGGAACACAGTTTGGGAAACACTGATTTACGCTGAACTCTAGATTTTGTTACTGTGTTTCACAAAGCAGGTAAACAACCTCACCTGAAGAGATCATTGTAACTTCTACGTGGAGTGGCTTCCCTCAACATACCACTTCCTATTTATTAGGGTTGAGCTGAAGTGCAACTGTCCTTCTATATCATAAGTAAGCAATAAAAAATTTTGTTTTGCTGCTTTAATTGCCTTTGACAGGAGTTAGGCTCCCGCATCTCATGCCCTGCCTCAGGGTGATACCCTCAGTTCCTTCTCAACCGCCTTAGCCTGAGACAGAACCTCAGCAGCATCCGATCTGAGGTTACCTCATCTATATTCTCCTTTCTATTCGAATTATTAGCGTTTAATTCACAAGGTTCTGTTAGTTGCTGTTAATACTCCCCTTCTTTTTCTTTTCTTCTTCTAAGAAAAATTCCTTTATTGTGTTGTTAGAATAGCCAACATCCTGTCCTTACTTAGGGCACGTCTATACTACCCGCTGGATTGGCGGGTAGAGTTCGATGTAACGGGGATCGATTTATCGCGTCTTGTCTGGACACGCTAAATTGATCCGTGAATCGACGCCCGTACTCTACCTCGGCAGGAGGAGTAAGCAGCGTCGACGGGGGAGCCGTGGCAGTCGACTCGTCGCCGTGAGGATGGCCAGGTTAGTCGAACTAAGATACTTGGACTTCAGCTACGAACCATCCCGCTAGTGTAGCCCAGTCCTTAGTTCTTCTTTGTCTCTTCCCTCTGGGGAAGTGAAACCCAGATGGGAAATGTGCCTGACTTTCCTGGGTTTAAACGTTGCCTCTCCTGCCAAGAAGCAATTCCAGTCAACTACAGACATTCCCACTGCATTTACCTCCTCAGAGAGTCACATGTGCCTCAAATGTGTATTTCCTGCCCGAAATGAAAATCGAGGGCTAGGAAGAACCATGAACTGAAACTAAGACTTCTAATGATGGAAAGTTCACTCCCTCTAAAGACTTGCTGGTCTCAGAGATGCCTGACTCGCCCCTACTCACCACTAACACGATCTCAGTACCTACCACATTTCAGTCCCCTGACGTACATGTGGTACCAAGGCACTACTCCTCAGCATCTAAGAGCCTGGATTTTTTATTTTCCCACCCAACCCCAACTTCCCTTGTTACTGTCAGTCACTCCTCCCCCGGGCCAGGTAGGCTGGGGCTGGCAGAACAGTCTCTCCTTCCCCTCAGCCCAGTGCCCTCCCTGGACACCCCCAGCCAGGCTGTCACGAGGCCTGGTGAGCTCAGGGGTACAGAGACAAGGACCTGCATGTTCTGGTGGCAGGACCTCAAGCTGCCCCCCCCATCCCCACCCCCGCTCTGCCCCCTGCCGAGCGCTGGCTGTGCCCACACTGCCGAGTGCGCCTGTCCCCCCACACTGGGGTCTCACACTGGCCATAAGCAGCAGAAAGGGGGGAGAAGGAACCAGGCAGAGCTTGGCCAGGGCTGTCACAGGGGGTCTGACACACCCAGCCCAAAAGGTCCCTGCACAGCCCCCGCTGTGTGCGCCAGACAGCAGCTGTGAGACAGGGATCGGTGCCCTGAGAGCCCCGGGGGAAATCCAGTCCCTGCTGCCCACAGATGGGAGGTTGCTGGGCACTGAGAACATGGCCCCATGTGGGGCAGCCTCAGTGTCTCCCTCCAGCCTGTTCCCAGGCAGCGACGCCCCATTACCTGGATCTACTTTGTTCTTCCTGTAACTTGTTTCATTACCTGGTATCAATAGTTTTTCACTCAATGGACCCAGCTGCTGACTCCATTGTCTCTCAGCAACACTCAGGCCACAGACGCTGCTGCAGGCGCTGGGCTGGGGTCAGCTCCTTTGTGTGACTGGGTCCGATTCAGGAGCAGCAAAGCCGAGCCGGGGTGGAGGTCCTGGCCCTACCGCCCACCCCGCTCCAGACTCTCCAGCCGATCTGGAAGCGGAGACGGACCAAGCAGGACAGGTCGGGGGCATGGCTATTTGTGGTTTCTCGTTCCCTGCCCAGCAGCCCAACCCCCTGCCAGAGGCGGTGCCATGATGATTAAACCACCTGAAACCCCATCAGCCCCTGCATCCCAAAGGGCTTCAGAGACCTGATCTGCTACGGGTCCCATCTGCTGGGACCTGCCCACCCGTGACAGGCACCCAGCCGGGATTGGTGCGGGGGAGAGCAGAGCCCCCACAGGAACAGGCATGAGTAGAGAACCATAAGGGGGCATAGGTGCTGACTCCGTGGGTGCTCAGGGGCTCTGCACCCACTGGCAGCCAAGCTCCCCTCACCCACCTCCCCACCTCCTCCTCTCCTAAGCGCCCTGTGTCCTTCTGCCTACCTCCCAGTGCTTCCAGACAGGTGTAGTGTATTAAAGTTCTCTCCATAAGGGTGTACTGAGCATGCTCAGTACATCTGCTGAAGCCACTGCCCTTATTAGCCATAAGATTCTGCAGACTGCTTTTGACAGGGGTTAAAAAGTGTCAAAGGGGGCGAATCATAGCAGGGGGGTGGCCAGGGTCTGTTTAATACACTACACCGGCGCTGGGTATCGGGGGTAAGGTCGGTACAGTCACTCGGGGATGTGGCTTTGTCTCATCCCGAGGGAGGGCATCAAACCAGTGGAGGGCTGCAGTGCAGAGCAGACCTCACACAATTGCACTTGACTTATGGAAAGGCATCGAGTCCAGGGCCCCGCCCCCGTCTGAAAGCTCCAGCAGAGACCCCATCCCAGCAGCGGATTAGCCACGGGGCCAACAGGGCCCTGGAAAAATGGGGACCCCAATGCCCTGACCCCACTCCCCGGTAGGAGTGCCGGGGCAAACGAGGCACCTCTGTGTTGGGTAGAAGATGTCCGAGATGGAGGAGGCTGTGGGATCAATTGGGTCTACAGAGCATAGGAAAGAACTCATCTCACCACTCGTTCTGTGCAGCGTAACCATGGAGGCTGCTGTGGCTTT